GCAGGACACACAGCTGGGGGAGGGTGGGGCTGCGATGGGGGAGGAGAAGCCTGCTGGCCACGGAACCGGGCCAGGGAGGCTGAGAAGTCCCTTCCACCACCTGGGCTGGCTTTCCTCCACTCTTCCCTTCCATTCCTCCCTCTCTTCCTGCTGCAGCCTGCCCTTTCGGACTCTGTCTCCCAGGTCAGAGTCAACGGACATAGGCAAAGGGTATGAGTGGGGGGATGGGGTGGAGCCTGGAGGGGGCGGAGCGAGTAATTAGCATTGGGGAAGGAGTGTCCTGCTAGAAGAGGCTAAGACAGACGACTTTCTCTGGTTCTTTTTCCATTCCCAAAACATTTCCCCTACTGGCTTTCTGACAACCGAACTTTCACCAGTAAGCCTTCTTATTCCTGAAGGCTAGTCTCAAACCAAAATGAAATACTGTACCTGCTTGGGATGGTGGCATACACCTGTATTCCCAGCAACTCAGCTGCGGTGAAGGCTGAGGCAGGAGGATCCCAAGTTTGAAGTTGGCCTGGGCAACTGCACAAGACCTTATCTCAAAATAAAAAAGTCTGCGAATGTAGCTCAGCATTCCCTGGGTTCAGTCCCCAGTAATGGGGGAGCGGGGCTTGCTGTCTCACACCACAGTTTGTGTGGGATGATACCTGGCTACTGGACTTAGGTTCCACATAGTATTGGTCGTGTTGACCAGTTACTTAAGTCTCAATTTCCTCATCTCTGAACCTGAGATGATTGTCATTTTGCAGGATCAAAGTGTCAGGATGAAAGAATTTGGAGTGCAGTGCCCAGGGCCAGTGGGGACAGAGATGTCCCATAAACATTGACTGAACACTACCCTGACTGTTGCTATTTGGAACTGTGACCCCACACCCTTGGCCCAGGACACACCCCCTTCTGTCCTGGGCAGGCCACTGTCACCCTGCAGAGCCTCACCTGCCCCAGAGAGTGACCCCTCCAATGTCCCTCCTCTCTGCCCTGAGCCACCCGGTGGTACAGCTGCATATGACCTTCTCTGTCCCTCTTAATATTAGTGCTACCCAGTATTTCGCACTCTATGCTCCTTTCCAGAAGCACTGCTTTTCTCTGTCCCTTTTCTCCTGCTGGCTCCTTGCTCCATCCAGACCCCTTGCCTGCTACCTGGAGCCCTTTCTGTCCCAGTGCCCTCTTTGTTTCCTGTAAACCTGTCCCCTTTCCCTCCTTAAATACTTGCAGTCAAAAGCTAGGCTTGGTGGTGATACACATCTATAATCCCTGTACTCGGGAAGCTGAGGCTGGAGGATCCCTGTGAGTTTGAGGCCAGCCTGGGCTACATAGTAAGTTCAAGGCCAGCCTGAACTACATAGTGAGACCCTGTCTCAAAACAAACAAATAGTGGGGCTTAGTGGTGCATGCCTGTAATCCCAGCACTTGGGAGGCTGAGGCAGGAGGATCACCGTGAGTGTGAGGCCAGTTTGGACTACATAGTGAGTTCAAGACCAGCCTGACTACACAGTGAGACCCTCTCTCAAAAACAGCAACAACAACAGCAACAGCAGCAAAAGTTTTTAAAACCAGGCATAATAGTGGCACACCTCTGTCATCCCAGCACTATGGGAGGCTGAGGTGGGAAGATCCCAAGCTTAAGGCCAGCCAAGGCAACTTGGCAACTTAGCAAGACCTTGTCTCAACAATAAAAAGTAAAAAGTTTAGCTTAGTGGTTCCACCTCCTGCCTTGCAAGCACAAGGACCTGAGTTCGATCCCCAGTACCAAAAAAAAGGGGGGGGGCTGGGCCGGGGATTTAGATCAGTGGTTCTGTCGCCTGCCTCCCAAGTGTAAGATCAGGTTCAATCCCCAGTACCTAAATAAATAAAGGGCTGAGGACATATTTCAATGTAGAGGCCAGTAACCCCTGCAGCCAATTTTAAGGGCCTGGGCATGGTGGTGCATGCCTGTAGTCCCAGCCACTCAGGAGGCTGAGACAGGAGGCTCCAGAGTTCAAGATTAGCCTGGGCCACATAGCAAAATCCTGTCTCAGAGAAAAAAAAATTACAATGTTTTTAAGCCTCCTATGATCCCCCACTGCCCACAGAATATGATCTAAGACTTGTGTGGGACACAACTCCGCCCCCCTTATATCTCAGCCCCTACAATCGGCCACGTTTGGTGGTGTCCACAGACAATACTGTCACAAGTGCGTCTTGTGTCCCCACCTTCCCTCAGGCTGCTTTCTCCCTCAAGAACCCTTTAGTACTGGAGAAGCACAAACACACACACGCACGCAGGCACAGGCCTCCAAGAACTAGGGAGGCAGCAGTCTCTCTCCCTGAGCACACTTCCATGTGTGTGTCCACGGCCAGTCTTTTCCTACCGCCTTGGTTCTAGAATCCCCCAGACACTCAAGAAATCTGGCAGGTTCTAGTCCCCCCTCGGGGATACAGCTCTGGGTGCCAGTCACTTCCAGCTCCTTGATGCTGGTGGACACACTTGTTTGTTTCGTTTTTTGAGACAATGTCTCCTTGTGCAATTCAGGCTGGCCTTCAGCATTCCACGATGCTCTTGCCTCAGCCTCCTGGGTGCTGGGATAACAGGTATGAGCCACCACACCGGGCTAGTTTTTAACCTCTGAGTCTGTTTCCTCATTTGTGAAATGGGTCTACCCTCTAGAGTTGCTGTAAGGATGAAACAGAATACTCCTTAGTGTTGGTCAAAGTACCTAGCATAGGACAAGATCCAAAAGGTACCTGCTCCAGATACTCTTGTTGTCCTCCAGATCACAGAACCCAGCGCCTAGTTGACATCGTTCCCCTTAGAGCCTGGGGTCTGCCAAGCAGCAGGGGCTCCCCGTGGGTCAGAAGGGGGCGTGGCCACGGAGGTGTGCGGCCAAGGCGGAAGTGGGGCTGCGGGAGGCTGGTCCAGTGGGTGGGTAGGTCTGGTGACAGCGCTGCGGGCGTGGCCTGATGTGAAGTACCCATTTGGGCCTCGGTCTTTCGTGGCTGTCAGGAATAGCTTCAGAAAAGCCTCCTGAGCCTCCACATGGAATGTACCATAGGCACACGTATCAGGAGTCTTGTCTCACCTACTCCTCAGAGAGAGCAGCCCGGTGACACAGGGACTGTCACTACCACCCATTTTATCAAGGAGGCACAGAAAAGAGATGTAACACCCCCAAGGTCGTGCAGTTCTGAGTAGGAGTCACTGCCCAAGCGCTCTGGCTTCAGGGGAGCCCAGGCTGTCACCATGTTCACCACCTGCTCCGACGTCTGCAGCTCTGTCACTCTGGGCCTGTGGCCAGCAGGTGGACAGGCAGCCCATTGTGATCACACGAACCCAGCCAGGTCTTCAGGGCGTGGCTAAGGGGTCCGGTGCAGGTTGTCCCAGGATGGAGACGGCAGGGCCGGGGTCAGAGGGACCCAAGTCTCCCGGTGCAGGCAGCCGGCCAGGCTGCTCCCAGCACCCACCTGCTGTGCCCAGCGCTTTCTGAGAAAGCTTTTGGAAACAGTAATGAGGCCCAGGCCCCAGGTTGCGTCACCAAGTCACCAAGTGTCTGCAAAGGACAAGGGGTGTGGCCAGCTCCAGCCAGTGCTCTGCAGGCCCACACCCAGAGGGCTTGTCCCCAAGTGTCCCCGCGGGTGATGGGTGACTTCAGGGGAATGCGGCTGCGACTGGGGCCCGCGGCTGGGTGGAGGTGTCTGGAGCAGTGACCTGCCCAGGTGGGGTGCAGCAGGCCGCCGGGTGACCCCTGCCGTCATTTCCTCCGGAGTCGGAGAACAATGGCTCAGAACCGGGAGCCGCCGGCCGCCCGCGCCATCCC